ATTTTTCACTTAGTAGCACAATGTCGTCTGCATACTCTAGATCAGACAGCCTGCCAACTGGAAGTAAATCGATGCCACTATCCTCGCATGAGGATAGGGCTGTTTCAAGAATTGAATCTATCACGAAGTTAAATAGGAACGGAGAGAGAGGGCAACCCTATCGAACACCACTTTCCGTGGTGAACTCGGGTGAAAACGTGTCGTAAGCCCGGACTCGACTTCGGCTATTAGTATAAAGCGATCGTAATATTGAAATTAACTTCTCGGGCACACCTTTCAGAAAAAGGCAGCGCCAGAGCTTATAAATCAACTCAATTGGACACGGATCTAGTTTGCTTGCTGCCCATTTATAAATTGAACAGCTAACTGTATAGCCGAAAAGCAGTTACCAAAACTGGTATGCGAATGTGTAAGGTTATGTTTTTGCACACTGAAATTAATGCAAGCCTAAGCCAAGCGATTTAAGTTGTGATAGCTGGGGTGTATTTGACTTCAATGTTCGAGGTTTTCACAATGCAATGCGGTTGATGTTGCACAGCTTAATATTGTGGCTATCCCACCGTAATTTAGCATTGCAAAAATCGGGTCTACCGCTTTTTGAAACCAAACACAAGGGTTCTCTGAGCTGCAGTTCCATCCCTTCGACGGATAAGCCCCAGCGAAGAAAAACATTAAATAGCTTTAATGCATAGGGACGCACGTGATGTACAAGCGATTGAACTAGTTCGGGATTAGGTGGTGTGTTACGAAAAAAGCACAACCGATTCATCTTACTTTTAAGCGATTAGCAAAAGCTACGTACCAAGTGATACAGGAACTTGCACTGTGGATCGGGCTGGGAGCGCAATGGGTCTATGTGCTCCGCTGATCTCCGAGATTTTGCTGTTGCGACCCCTTCTAGAACTGGAATCTGCCGTTTGTGGTCGCGTGCGAAGAGACGAGGCTACAACTGGAGGTTTGAAGTGTGCGGAGACTGTTGGTGATTCAGCACGATTAGCCGCTGACAACGCCTGGGAATCCAGCGTCAACCCCTTGGTTCCAAAAGATGTGACGCTATTACTGTTCTCCGTTTGAATATTGGTATCATTGATGTTATTACTGTTATTATTGTTGTTGTTGCTACTAGAGTCCGAAGTGGTCAACCGATCGGCCAAATGAGATGAGAGGGTCGCCGGGGTTGCGGTAATAATTGTTGTCGGACTACTACCTCCGCTATTCGCACCCGTGGCAACCACCGTAGACGGAATAGTATTGATAGAGGCCGATGTCGTAGCAGCACCCGCTTGTGAAGGCAATGGACGCGTACCCGAGAAATTAGCTAGAAAATATGTTCAGAAAGCAAGGGAAAGACAGTGGTACAAATCCACGAATAAACGCTTTTAATCATAGTCAATTAAAATCACTTGGAAGAATCATATCCCCATTATACGAATAAACACTGATGCGGATTATAAGACACAAGTATGAACGTGGGATTGGCTGTCGTTTGAAATATGCGAAGGGAACGTGGTATCTGTGGCCTGCCACTCTGCTGCCCATCTGTAAACATCACAACAAGTGGTTAGGTCACCTAGTGACCTAGGTGTCCCGGGTTCAAACCGCTCCACCACTGCCCGTCTTCCCTATATCTGTATTTTCCCCAGGCAGCCTTTATATGGCCGCGGCCCCGTTCCTGAAAGTTGACTGTACGTTTGTATATTCAATGAATAGAAAAAGAAAGTAAAAGGACATTTCATTTTCATTTCAAACAAAATAGTACAAGATGATGGGAGGATTTTACCTACCGGAACCTCGGTTTGAAAACACGGTTGGCGAGGAATTTTTACGGGTTGTTGCTTGCCCGCGTTGCCAAGAGGTCACGTCTGAATCGTGAGGTAGGGATGAAGATCGAGAGACCGTGAGAGAGAAAAAACTGAATAAATACTGGTATGCACCGAGAGGATTCTATACTCGCCTGCCAACTGACAGAACTTGAAGCCATCTTTGTAACGAAAACCGCCGCCACAAAGAAAACGAAATGCACTTAATGACACATTTTCAGACAGAGGAGAGCAATTAAGGGAAAACGTTTCCACCCGATGAGACCTTTAGAAATGACTTGCAAAGTAAGCTTTTTGAAACTTCACGGTTCGGACAGGTAGCCTACGCCTTCCAGTGCCGATTACTCGATAAATAGCAAGACTCTTACATTTCAATGATTATGCAAAGAATAAACAAGTGGTTTGTATGGGCTGGTATGAGAAATTTATTAACACTAACGTCACAGAAGGTAAGCAAATGATAGAAAACAAAAACTGATTGACAAAATGAACGAACAACAAACGATGGGATTTTATTCAGACCTGAACTACCGTGTCTCGATAATGGGCCACCGAATCCACCTCGGGCTCCCCCGTGTGGTTTGTTCCTGTATCCCGAGGAACCCGTGAGTGTGTGTACATTTTCCGCAGAGATGCAAGTAGAGTTTTCTAGGGACACATTCGGAAAGCGACGAGGTAACGACCCACTATGATCAGATGTCACCGGAGATGCCGGTGGTTGGGAAAATACGGGACCGGTGGGAGTCGAACGATCACCTCCTACACCGCAAGGATTTGTAGGAGTTGGCGTTCGACAAGATGGGGTTGTTGGTGTAGCAGGAGGTGGGGTCGCGGGACTGTGAGACAAGCCAGTTAGAGGAATAGTCTTCACTGGAGTTGAGCGTGGATTGGCAGACGTAACCAAATTGGATTCGAATTGTCGCCATTCTGCGAGAACAACAAAAAGAGACCGTTAAAAATTCGACTGTGTGGCACAGCTTGAACACTGAGCAATTATTCCACTTTAAGTGTGAAAATCGGAGTAGAAATGAGTGGATTTCAAAGGATCGACTCACTGATTGCCTCAAGGCCATACAACAAACAAAGCAGGTCTTAGGTGGTTAACGTCTCCAAATCTTAGGATCACGGCCATCGGTTTTCCTTCAACCTTCATGATTAGCTACAATCAAGTGGTCGGTATGGGATACGAAAATACTACTTTCGGAGCGATAAGTTGATCTTGGGCCTTTAACCATCACCGCACTGGCTAATCATGGCGGAATACTGCTATTGAATAAGGTGTTGTCTCGTTCAAGCTCCGCTTGTCTCATTGGGTACATGAGGCCAAGGGTCGATGCCGAACAGCGGACCGATAATCAGCGTNNCAGCGAACAACACAACTAATCGAAATTCAATGGCCCTGCGTGACAGGTCTCTAGAAGCTCCCAAACGGGTGCTTCGTTCACGCTCCCGCGTTGTATTTGCGCCCCACTGCCTTGTGGGTCAGACATTTGAGTCAAAGGCTCCTGTTAGGGTTGTCGTTGTGGACAATCGCGAAGTATGTCGTGCCCTAAAGTCTTAGGCACCCATTTGGAAAACCATCTCCCATCTGTCTAACTCTTCCTCTCAATCCCGAAAAACCCTAAACGCCTGCTGTTTACAAGACCCATTTGATATCACTCAGCGTTTTACCAACAAGTCCAAACAATCAAAATTTGCAGGATTTTTGAAGCCGAAATTCCCTTTTCACTTAGCCGCGTTTAATATCCGCACACTCTATCAGATTAGTCAACAAGCTGCCTTAGCTAGAACCCTTGGAACTTTCAATTTAGAGATATGTTTTGTCTCCGAAACACGCATACAAGACCCCACTTCCATTATCTCTGCGTTCTCCTGATCCAACCTCAACCTCACGTTCACCCTTCGTTTGTCAGGCGATTCGGCATTCGAAGCTCGTGGTGTTGCTGGTATCGGGATTGTGCTAAGTGCTAAGCTGAGCGCTTGCTTCTTGACTGGGTTCCAGTCAGTAGCCGATTGTGCGCCGTACGTCTTAACGGTTCAGTTCGAGTCGCCTCCATAAGCCTCAGTAAGGTCGGGAGTGGGTGTCTAGGGTTGCGGCCGGTTACCCTTCCATTGCACCTCACGAAATGCCTCCATACGACCAAGCGTCTCAAATAGCTTCTGCTGAGGAAGCCCTACCCACTGCCTTCTGGTGGCTGAGGTGTTTTCCCACCAAGGTGAGAGGACGAAAAGCCGACATCCGGGGATATAACCGGGTTGGTGGATCACTGTTAGTTCATCTAGAGGAGTTGGCCAAAAATCCTGATTCCAAACCGACCATGAGGAGGCGTACGAACCACACACACTTTTCGGTTGTGGCAGTGGTCACCGGCTTGATTGGGCATCGAGGTTAACCTTTGGAGTTGATCACTGTGACGCTCACCGGCAAGTGCGCGGTTCAAGGGCAATCTGGATACCCTGGATAGTTGACCACATCCTAAAGGCGTATGAACTGGCCCCCCAGTAACCGGCTCCCAGAGGATCGTGGACTCCCTACTCCACCCCACTG